GGCAGATGGGCAGACAGGCGTGTGAGATCAAACTTATAAAGGTGACGGATATCCTGACAAGAAGTACTGCGCGTCGTGATGAACAGATGGGAACCTGGCAGAGCACAGACACTGCACGTGTGTGTGTGTGTGTGTGTGTGTGTGCGTGCACGTGTGGGGCCTCTCGCACATGCAGGAGTTTAGCACTTTAGCTGAGCATAGGGAGGATGTGTGTCGACTGTCAAACGGCATGTGATGCTGCCTCTGCAATTTAAAAACAGACATGGAGAGAAAGGATGCACACGCATGTATGCGCATGCACGCAAACACACACACACACACACACGCACACACACACAGACACACACACGCACACACACATTCGGTAAGTGCAAACATGTAGCATAAGCCATGCAGAAATCCCTCCCTTGATAGCCTTATCAAATGTCATTATTCTTAATATAATTTTTTTTTTAAACACAAGTAATGTTCCAATGATAAATTTTGTGGGGTTAAAATTGTACATGATCATATTTCAGTTCATAAATCTCACATTATGCCTGCATCCTTTTCCGTGTATTATTAGTCGGGCACTGCGCATGAAACGTCTTTGCTGACAACGTTACTCTGACAACCTGAGAGTCCAACATCCCGTGGTTTGATTCTGCATATTGCGACACACACATTAATGTCGGCCGGCAGTGGTTGGCCTGCTGATGTTGAGGTATAATCCCCCGGTAGCCTTCGGTTTCAGCATAAATCTAATAACTGTCAGGGATTTCGTTTGCAGTCTACGCCTGACCTACATCAGCTTCTTGCATTATGTTGAGTCACACTTGGCGGATGCTCCTGCAAAAAAAAAAATAAATAAATAAATATATACAGTATATATGTATACATATATGTGTACACACACACACACACACACACACACACACACACACACACACACACGCATCTTCATCGTGTGCTATTTGCAGCGACATGACGGTAGCAATTAGAGGTGAGACAGCCAGACTGTGGGCCGTGATAATGGCCCACCTTTCTTTTGGTTCTGCGCTCTTTGGATCAAAACTTCTCCGACCTGTCGGCACATATTTTGGTGCAGTTAAATATTCCAATCTGGTCCTCCTATAATTGCTTTATTGCCTCTCTGACTACATCTGAGGGCCATTCATGTCCAATTGGACCGATGTGCCATGTAATCAGAATTAATTCGGTCTAATTCAACAGGTGAGGCCGAATCTAATTTGCATTCTCAATTTGTCACTGGAGTCATTCTTTATTGGTGTGACAGTCTTTCTTTTTTCTTTTTTAATTTAGCATACATGCAATTTATTGTCCCCCCCCCCCCCTCGAATCTGAATTCTCCATCTAAGGCTGGCCTGATGTTCCAAGTTTGACTCGCTTCTATGGTGGCTGTCAAACACAGCGCAACGCTCCTGCTGAAATTGATCCAAAGATACCTGAACTCCCCCCGTTGTGTGCCTTCAATTCATTAGACAAAGTGTGGAAAGCATGTCATGAATAATAAAATAGCCCGGATCATGACACCTAATAGGAATCGTATTGCATCGACAATGACAAAAGAGCCCCCCATTCACTTTTTCCACCAGTGGATTTCTACATTGAAGACCCGGTGCCATTGTACGAGGGCGGATTTCCATTACATCCTGCCATGCATGTACCAACAAATTCAGACTCATTATAAGCCGACTTGCGATTCTGATTCTGTAAACGGCATTTAATTTAAGAAGCAATCAAGTTGTGTTTGGTTTTAAACCCAAGAGTAGCTGAGGCAGCAGCTTGCAGGTGGCACAAATGGCTTACATCATTGGCTGGCATGAGTTTCACATGCGGCTGCTCTGCCTTCAGCATCAGCTCTCGGGGATTAAGAGGGACAATTGGGTCACAAGTTCATACATTATCTATATTGTTGTTGTTTTTTTAACTTTTCCTTGAGGCTATTCAATCAAGGTATAGTGGAAATGGCACTTAAACTGTAGTTGTCGTGATAATGTTGTGTTTCGGTGCATTTTGCACACCTTGCTGTTCTCTAATAGGAAAGGGGGCGGGGGGGCTCAATTGTTCTATGATCCGTGGATGGGCCAACGTATTTCTTGTCTTAATTAAAATCCTTGATATGCTCATTGATCTTAAAGTCTACGGTCGCTCATGTTTCTCGATGAAGGTTTGTTTGACATTTGAAGCGTAGGACAATTGAGGTTCAACTCTACTTTGGGGTCCATGATCAATCAGTCATGTAAAGCGTGACTATCGTTGCATTAAGTGTACCCGCAGCCCCTGCTAATGTATAAAGTTTCCGTGAATTTGCCCTCGAGGGTATCACACCGTCATGTCATTATCGCGCATGCGCATGGATCATCTGTGCAGAGATTTTGAGACTGATTGTATCTGCCCGACTGAGGATGGCATTTGCTGCTCATTTAATTACACAATCCAGATGGACTGACGGCCATACTGCTGGTCAATAAGGGAGCCATGATGAAAAGATGACAAGGGGCCGATTTGGTACTGCGTGATTCAATCATGTGACGACGTTCCTCCTACTGGCGTGTGTGTCTGTGTTTTGTCCTTTGTGTGTCTCTTCCCGCTAACTTTGTTCTCCAGCGGCAATAATGCAATACAGTCTTTTATTATGTCCTGATGACAGAGATGGATAATTCTCTCATATCGTAGCTTATTGACTCTCACATTTTTCCCATCAACGCATCAATCAAGGAAGTGGTCCGGTGTTGTCTGGCCTCAGCTTATAATATTAGACCGCAGCACAGTGAACTGGGAGTGTAAAGATCACCGTTGTCCGTATGGACCCATTTATTATCCCTTCACAAAGATGATACTGTGTGTGTGTGTGTGCGTGTGCGTGTGCGTGTGCGTGTGTGTGTGTGTGTGTGTGAGATTTTCACAAATTCATTGGCTGTTTCATTGCTCATTGTCAATTTACAACGTGGGTTGTCAATTTAGACACAACTAATCAAATATTGCTCCTTGTCTATCAAGGGCTTGTCTGAGTATATCATGTCCTGGAGTCACAAATGTGCCAATGTCCTAATAGAACGTGACTGCATAGTAGACATCCACGTCACTTGGGTGAGTGGATGAACAGCCCCGGAGCAAGACTGACGGTACCTGCTCAAGCCTCAGTTCACGTCACTGAGCACTGTCAAGACCGTTGGTACACTCGCTCCTCCACCCCCAGGGGATGTCAACCCTCTCAGACCAGCTACCCACCCACCGGGGGGCAGAGGTCATGTGGCCCTTTGGGATTTTTGTACCTCAACGTACTTTTGAAGGGGAGGGATGGATGAGGATGGACGGATGAATGAATGAGTGACAGTGGCGAGAGACAGAGTGTGATAGGGATGGAAATCAAAAAGTAAGATGATGAAAAATCGGAAAAATGAAGGGGAGGTTATGGAGGGGGTAGATGAATCGGGAGTTGTTATTGTCCTCTCTAAGTTTGTGATGAAGGCAAGCGTTTGCCCGCAATGCCAAAAAGTTGAAATCCCCTTAAATTGTCCATGCCAGGAATGCAGCAAGTGCACAGTTGCGTCTCTTTTGCCTCCATCATAAACTCTTCCTGAACCCTGCGTCTACATCTTCTGTCCTTTGATGTATTTCAACTCATTCACACTGTCCCAAAAGTGTGACTTCTTTTCTCGCATTCTATCTAAGCTTGAACTGTTATTTGTAGCCCCTAATCATTCTCAGGGGAATACTGCAAATTAAAATTAACTTTTACATGCATCATACATTCATCTTCTCCCCGCAAAAACACTTCACAAACATTTACAACATATAATCAAATCTCAGCTCCTAACTATTTCCCAACTATGGAAAATGCAACATTTTGGGCACAACATATCACCCACTAATTCCACAAAGTCTCTGGAAAGTTGTGTGTGTGTTAATCACGTGTGTATTTAGGTTCCCTGTAAATTTTCGCCATGAGATGTTTCTTGCTGTTTCTAAAAATGCTTTCTTTCCTTCCAAGTGAATACTGTACTGCCTGTATGCCCTACAGATGATGAGATCTCTGTTGCCCTCATTGACAGTTCCGTTCATCTCAATTACTGGGCTCCATCCGTTGTGACACTAGATAATATGATGTGAGATGGAAAGGTGAGAGAGGGCTGAAAAAACAAGATCTTTTTTCAAACCTGTCAGTGTGCATTAAAACCAATTTATGGTGCTTGTCCATAGTAAAACTGGCCTATTTGGCTAATAGTGGCAGGATGGACGGAAGACATGATGTGATTTTTTTTTTTCCTGCACTGATTCACGAAAATAGTGTCATATTTATGAGTGTTTGTATGCAAGAAGATGGTGATGGTATTCCTAGGTGAAAACTTGAAAGTCTAACAAGAGAAGGGGGAACGAATCAGGACGTTAATACACCATTACTCACGATAAGGCCACAACCGTAGAGCTGGCTGGCACGGATTATCTCACTTGTCTGCCGTGCACTTGTGTGTGTTTAGGGGTGCAGATATGTTGTTGGTTGTTTGACAATAGTTTCAGGTCTGTGCATACTGATGTGTAATATAATTTATGTAAATGCAGCCATAATGCACCTGAAGCCATATGTGTGTGCGTGTGCGCGTGCGTGTGTGTGTGTTTGTGTGTGTGTGTGTGTGTGTGTGTGTGTGTGTGTGTGTGTGTGTGTGTGTGTGTGTGTGTGTGTGTGTGTAAATCAGTGAACAATTAAAGAACACCCTGTATAATTCAATAAATATTCGATTAATGGAGGATTTCAGGATTGGTGTTCAAAATAGGGCTTCGAGTAAGCGTAAGCGTTAGCTTTCAAAGTAGGGTTTCGAAATAGTGTTTATAAAAAAGGATTTGTGTTCCAAATTAAGTCTTCATCGGTTTGTAGTTTGGGTTTCAAATAATGGTTTCAAGCCATGCAGGGTGCGCGTACAACGCGCGGCGCAATGTGCATTAAAAAAAAAAAAAAAAACAGGAGAGGCCATATTTATGCGTGTCAGTGACTTCCGGGGAACAAAAATAGTGACGGACCAATATGGCGGCGCCCCTTAACAGCACTTTGTGTACAGTTTTCGATAAAACTACTTTCGTGTGATAATGTTTAATGTGGAGGGTCACCACAATTTCCTGTGCCAGTGATTGTACATCAGTACATCAACAAGCAACCGGCTAACATTAATTTTGGGCAACGTACGCTTGAGCAATGTGGGGTGAAATTACAGAACCTCCGGTCAAAATACAACCCACGCCGTCCGATAAATGCGTAAAGGAGGACCAATGCACAGTACCGCAGGAACTCGTGATACTGCCCCGTGTTCCCCATATAGAACATCCAGAACCACCGCAAGATTCCCAGGTGAGCCAAAAGCTTAGCTTTGTACAGAGATGGCCAACGTATTCATACTCGGTACTTTTAGTAGGAGTACAGGCAGGTCAAATAATTGAAGTACTAATTGTTGTCTTTTTTAGTACATGTAAACAAAAATATGGATAGACTAAAATGTACTGAAGTACAAGAACTCAGTTGTATACAATACCCATTTTGGTCACTTGGCACAATGAAAATAGAATTCCACTCAAAATTGTGGAATTGAATTATTACTGAGAACTACGTATAAAACTGTCAAAAGCCTACATAGGCTAGTGTAGTAGATTAATCGACAACTAATTGATTAGCTAAATAGTTATTTTTGAGAATCAATTAATTATTGGATACCTTATTTTAATTTTTAATTGTCTTAATGTGCCAAATTACAAGTTACGGATTTTGTTGCCGCCCTATACTCAAGGAAATTATCTGAAAAATCCGCTGCGGTATAGTTAAAAGAAATGGTACTTTGACTTCCACTACTGTCTTTGTAAAATGAGCACTCAACCGCATTCAATTGACTTTTAATGTGACCTCAAGGTGTTCCAAGATGTCCCCGCTGAAGTCAACGCCTTGTTGGAGGCTGTAGTTGCAAGTGGAAGCCAAGTTAAGAGTCAGCAGATAGGAGATGCTGAACTGACAACCGAGGAACGTACAAAGGAGCTACTGCATCAGTACAGGAGCAAACCACTGGTCTTCTTGGAGCGCTACCACGTATGTGCGCCATTCTCCATCTGTCCTTCTGTCGACACAATCAATCCATATCAGCGGAGGTGGCAAAAGTGCTCATGTCCTGTACTTATGTTGAAGTTGGCTACAAACGCCTGTGTCATCAAAAAGACTCTGGTAAAAGTAGAAGTACTGATTCAACTCTTACGCCTGACAGGAAAAAGAAATACAAAACATTAAAACCTTTTTTTTTGGAACTCTCGAACTTTTTTTTTGGAACTCTCGTGTTCACTTGTTATTTTCAACGCTTTGTTTCAACCTCACCTCATTCATTTCCCACGTTTCCAGAAATGCTTGAAGCCCGAGCATCTGTCGGCTTTTTCCCATGTCAGCGCTGACCCACGGGCCGGGCACTACAGCGAAGTGATCCAGAGGCAAGCAGCAGCAACCACCCACAAGACGAGAGTTCGAAACCAGCGCTACGCTGCACTCAGGGCCCTGCAGAAAGGTAGCGCCTTTTTTTTTCTTTTCTAAAACTGGATAAAAAGTGCTTGCACCCTTTTTGTGAGATTGTTTTGCTGTTCACCCAGTTAACCAGATGATGTCGATTTCTTTTTTCACGCTTTCCTCAGAGGGCCTCTATTTCAGTGAAGAACAAATGCGAACGAGGGAGCCACTGCTGTATGAACAATATATAGGACAGTACCTAACTGATGATGAGGTAACAACATACTTGATTTAATCGTTATTTTTATTTTTTATATCTTCTGTTCTAACTTTATCTCACTTTGACTTATAGGAGTGAATAACATAAAGGGAAAAAAAATTCAACTGTGAGAGGAAAAAGTTCTATATATTAATCAAGTCATCTTTGCGAAAAACACTTTTGCTTATATGATGACACAAAGCAATGCTGTGTAGTTTTTTTCCCGCCCCTCAGGAATGAAATCAAACTGTACACTCTTACTGACATTGTTGTTGACAGTATACTCTAATGACACTTTTCCTGTTAGATAAATGAGCCCCTCACCAAAATGGCAATAGTTTCCTGACAATACGAATGAAATTGTAACTCACAATTTAGGTGTTAGAGCGCTCCCAAGAGTCCATGCTGGGTGATGCACAGCAAGGAGGGGCGGCACCAGAGGGAGCCGCGGGTGGGCTGTCGCACCTCCTCCTCAACTCCTACCAGGAGCGGCTTATCCAGTGTCGTCTGCAGGAGGAACAAGATAGAGAGGAGGGTGCACGGGAGGAGGAGGAGGAGGAGGAGGAGGAGGAAGATGAAGGCAAGAGACGCTTGTTGAGCTTTTGTTAGAAGACGAGAAACGCATAGTGGGGACAATGGTTACAGTTTGATATTACTGAGGTGATAGTTTTTATCGTTTTATTATTTTTTTTTTCTCATTCCCAACGAAGAAGAGGCAGTCCAGGAGAATACTTGGGAGCCAACCTCTGAGGAGAAAGCGCTTCTTCGGGAGGAGTTCATCAGTCAGATGCACCAACGCTTCCTTGATGGCAAAGACACGGACTTCAACTACAGGTCCGTGTGCATGTTATTTTCAAGCAGCAGACATCAAGCCTTTTTTTAAAATTCATATTTATTTGCTTTTTTTGTCTTATACTGCATCTTTGAGAGCATTTTCTTCGAGTAGAATTATTTATCTCAGTTGAGAATACGCTTAGAATATTGCAAATTCTCCCTTTTCCCTTTAAAAAAAATGTATCAATGATGTGCTTTTGTGTCCTAATGCCAGCGAAGTGGACGAGAACCCAGACTATGACAACCTTGACATCGTCAACAGAGATGCAGAGGAAAAGTACTTTGATGAAGACGATGAGGAAGCAGATGACGAAATTATGACAGAATAGTCACCACAAGGGACAATCAATCTTTAAAGTGACGTGGTGTAATTGTGATCTGTGGCGCACGATGCTGATACTTTGTAATAAATACTGTTTCTGGAATATATCTATTATTGTGCTGACATGGGAAACTTAAACCCTTTTTGACACTTGATTAGGTACATATCAACAATCTAATGAGCTTCAATCCAAGAACTTTTCACCCCTTTTTATAAAAAAAAACGAGACAAAAATAATTTTGAGAGGGGAAGTTAAAAAAAAAATTATAATTGAAAAATGTGGTTGCACAAGTGTGCACACCCCTCTTGTAACTGCAACTCAAGATGTGTTCACAAACAGTGGGGAGTCAGCACACACCTCCGAGCATTTAAAGTAGTGAATTCAATTTCAGCTCTTCCTGACTTTTATTTTGGCCTTCTAGCAGAAGCCTGAAGGTTTTGTGCAAACTGTTCAGCAACAGGCCCGGAGCATAATGCTGCCGCCACCATGTTTCATTGGAAGATGACAAAATCTCTCAAAACAAACATCGGAAAATGTGTGTGCATAGTATGCGTTCAGTACATATTAATGAAATGACACAAATCAACATGGATTGACATGTGGCGAACCCTTCCTGCCACATCCATTAACATGAGCTCTTCTTCACTTTCTATCAGCCAGCCTCTGTAGCAGGGCAATGACAGTGTCTTGTTTGGAGGAGAGCAGCTCCAGGGCCGTAGCAATCCTGCACAGGGACCTCCCCATTCGCATCTCCCTCCTCTCGCGCCGCCTTTCTCTGGCTTCCATCCGGACGCGAGCCACGCAATCCAGGTCAGTCTGCGCCTCCCTTTGCTTTAATATCTCCTGGTCGTAGAAGGAGCCGCTTTGCGCCTCATTTCCCTTGTGGCCTTCAGGTCCTGAAATGGCCGAGGTGGAAACGGAGGCTGAAAGTGAGGAGTAGGTGGAAGAGAAATTGGAAGCGAAGTTGTGGTTGTTGCCACGATGGAAGCATGCGACCTCTGCCGGGAAGGGCGCAGCTTTACGGGATGCGTTTGGGTCTGTGTTGACGGTGGACACGAGAGATGGGGAGGCGGCTTGTGTGAAACAAGGTGAGGAGATAAAAGTTTGGGCTGGATCAGTGGAGGCCAGATGAAGGTTGGCTGTGACAATATCACTGTTAAGGACTATCAGCGGTTTGAGGTCCGGACTTTCTGTTTGGCGAAGAGCCGACTTTGATGCAATAGCAGCAGTGCTGCTACTGCAGGCATCGGCCAGACACTTGACCCCTGATTCCACTTGAACAGCTGTGGGGAAGTTCCCATTGGGGCGGACGATAGTGGTGGGCGGCGGGACGTGCAGTCGAGGTGCGACCTTGGCTGAGGCTTGTGTGACGATGGCTCCACCTCCTCCTCCTTTGCCGCGTTTGTTGCTACTGATGTAAGAACCCACAGTGTCACAGAGCGTCGCATCCATCAGCTGCAACACAGACACAAGCATTGGATTGCATATAACTTGCGTTTATTTATAAGCTGCTCGAATTGCGTGAACATTCCCGGTTTCGAAAACCACTCATTCTCAGTTTTGATTCGACTTTTTTTTTTTGTGTGAATGTACAAAAAACTGATTAATTTGGAATATGTTTACTTAACATTTGCCATCTATGATTTGCCATAACTAAAAAAAAAAAAAAAATCGCTTTTAGGACCACAATGCTCACATCAAAGAACTCCCAGGATGTCTTAGCATGTCCTGTCTCTCGACTGCGATCTTTGACCCTTTTGTACGTGACGATCAGGTTGTTCCACTTGCGGCGGATCCTTTCAACAGGAAGGAAGTGCCCCTTGGCGGCCAACTCCTCCTGGACGCTCTGGAAGAGCTGCGAGCGCTCCCGGGTCTCATACAGGCCCCAGCGGCGGCCGACTGCGTCAATCAGACACAAAACAGCCTTGGAGGAGAAATCGGAACTGGGGGGAGGAGCGGATGGCATCGCTGATGCTGGGGGGAAAAAAAATAGTAAGGAAACTTGCTAAGGATTTGAATTACATACCAAAGACTAAACGTCGGGTTTGTTGTACACAAGTTATAGCGCCCAAACAGACTCGCTCAAAGTACTAAAGTGCCCGACAACCTGTTTATATTCAGGCACACTTGGAGCCCAGTGAGCTCCCTGGCCACTGCTCGTTAATGCACATATTGATTAGCAATCAAATGGAAGCAACTCGCTGCATTAAGGCATGAACACACGCCTGTCAAGTTGATCCGCTGAAGTTCCAAGTGAGCAATCAGAATGGAGAAGAAATTGATTTCAGTGACATTGAGGATGGCGTACCTGGACTAGTACTCCAGAAACTGCTCCTCGACACGTAACCATTTAATTTTTTTTCACCAAATGTTTTCTCAACATAAACTGAGCAGATAGTACAGGTATACACAAGAAAGTGTTGCAATTGTATGGCTTATTTAAAACGTAATTTGTTGTTAAAATAATAACAATGAAATGCAGGGGTGAATGTGTGTATGTAATAATATGCTTCGGTTATTTAGTCAAATGATTTTCAGTCAGAACATCCCTCGGAGGGAAATCCTAATTCGCCACCCCTTCTATTGCAAGGGCCAAATACGCCCACGGGGCTGCTCTAAATGCAAAACAGGGGCGATGGAAATGACTGTTAAACAAACACATTAGGGCATGGACAGTCTAAGTATGTAGCTCAATAAAATGTATTTTTCGAAAACGCTCACAACCAACTGACAGTACACGACAGCACAGTACAGTACATGTGCTCTTCTTTGACGATATTATAAAGAGAAACAGCGCCATCTGGTGGCCCCCCTGTCTCCAAATCTCACTTGAATGCGTGATTAAAAATAGATACAGTAAAATCAATCAATCAACGAATAACACAATAAAACAAAAGAGCTTAGGTGAGCACTCACACAGATGTACATCAGAAGTAGTGGTGGAAGCTGCGTGGAGCGTCGACGGTGCCCTCAGCTCCTCTGCAGCGTCAACCAGCCCGCCTCTTCCTCCTCCGTATGCAGGATCGCTGCAAGGCGCAGGCGAGCCCTGGCTGCCCAAAACTAGCGCAGATTGCTTTACATCTCCCTCCTCCCTTTTGACGTGCACTGTTGCTGCGTCGCAGCTGGTTCGTTGTGGAACGAAGGGCTCCATTGCGGACACACGCGCACAAAGAATCGCACTAACCTAGAGAGAGTGGGTGGCTGCGCAGGCGTTCAATTGGGAGAAAGTTTAGAGATGGCGGATTTCAGACGAATCCAGATGCGTTGTAGCAGCGCTTGTTCCTCCACGTTGCACGCGTGGTGATGGACAGGTACACACACGACCTCGATGTGTATGTGTAAAAGAGAGAGAGAGAGCGAGAGAGACACTCGGGGAGAAAGTGAGAGAATGTGTGTTAAGAGGGGCACAGAAATGGCTGCGCTCCGGCTGCCCACAGCCTGACGAATGCGCAGAGCGGCTGCGCAGTCGGCCCGGCCTCGCTGCGAACTGTGACGTCACTAAAAGGCACTCCAGGGCTTTCAAGGCCTTCTCTGCTGGCCCAAACACCGTCAGCAGCACGGACCTACATTTACAGCTGAGATAAAATGGCTCAGATTTTTTTTACCCCAACAGTCTATTGTCTTCATTCCACAGCAGGGATTTCAGGAGATTCCTGAACGGCCGGGCCATTCGTGGCCAAAAGTGCCATGCATCGGGGCTGCGCCCAACCACACCCCGTCAACAAAAACGACGCCTGTCGGCCACAACACAAAGTCAAGGTAACTGTTTTCTTGCTCGAGTAATTGTCATCCTCAAATACGAGAAACGCCTCCGTTAGCTCCAGAATGCCACAGATAACTAAATATACTCTTGAGCGCTTTTGTACATTATTTATCAATGTGATGGTGTTATTAAGAGGTGGATTAGGTCACTTAAATACCCAGTGAAGGCCCAGGTCCACAGATCACTGCCTGTCATTGGTGAATAACAAATTTCACGAGGCACATCATCAAATTAAACAGTGAAACATCAGAAGTTAAAATAATATACTTTATTATTTTTGCTGCAGGCTATGTAGTTTCTCTTCTGAATTAGCAGGTTTGACATTTGCACCAACATCAGCCAACGCAGGTTTAAAATGCAGAAGTGTATATATACTGCGGTAAAACACAAGAAATTCACATGCAATGAACCCCCGCTAGTTGCAGGGGATCGCGAACAAGCCCCACCGTAAATGCGAAAATCTGCGAGTGATTGATGGAATAACTGACAGTGGTTTATAATTTTCGACAAATGGCATAAGTTGATGTTCAAGCACTTTTTGTCAAAACTGAATTCAAATCACCATAGTTCCTTGGCACAAAGATGCCAGCAAAGTAATTATTTTTAAAACAGTGAATAGGTGTGTGTTTCAGTGATCAATGAAAAAAAGACATCTGGAATTCAGTGAATTTGGCAATGTCATAAAGCAAATATGCGGGGGATTCATTATATGTTCTCTCTCTCGGAAAAATGTCCTTGAAAGTTTAGAAGGCATTCTTAAGTTCTTCATCAAATAACGTTTTCAGTCTGGATCCCATGCTGAGGAAGTGAGGGTTAGTCTGCAAAAGATAACAACATGGTGCTTGACAAGTCAAACCGAATCAACAGTTTTTGTCCCGGCGGTGTTTCTCACCTTGTAATACAAAGCGCAGTTGGAGGAAATGAGCTGGATGTCAGATACAAATTCAGCAACGTAGCGGTAGTGGTTCTTGTCGAGCTTTTCGGCAATTTTGTGTAGCCACATAGGGGTCTGGACCACAGCGGCGTAGTCTTTCAGCTGTGAGTGTCAAGCACAAACACGTGACCTGTTTTTTTGGATAACTATTCTGACACCGCGTTTGCGCGTGACAAAAAACAGAAAGCGGGGTCTTACGGAGCCACATGGATTTGTTGCAAAAAACTGTTCATCATCAGCACTAAGCAGAAAGAGGAGGAGGTACTGGCACTCCTAAAGGGGAAGACGGGGGAATGTTATCGATAAAACAGGAACAAGTGAGTGACACAGTGGCAGTTGTGCTCACCATCAAGTGTTTGGATATTTGTTTGGACAGGAATGAATCGCTTTCCAACTCGTCACTGTAGCGCCACTCTCGAGCCGCCGAGAAGACGCAGAAGGTACAAATCCACTCTCTGTTGTAACTGTGTAAACATATCCACATCACCTTTTTATACCCCCCCAAAAAAGTATTACAAAAATGTGAACATTACTTTTCTAAGGGTCCTACATTCAGCCTTTTTGGATGATGAACCTGTCAGGCTACCATGAGCCATGATGTGATGGCCTTGCCAGAAAAGGCTCTGGCTCTGGATATTCATGGTATGATATACCGTAACACATTTGAATAATAAGTTCATGTTTAGTGGCTTTACAGTTTATTTTTTACAGCGGGCCACTTTTAAATTAGGGCCATGGTTTCACAGGGAAACTCTTCAGCCGACCCGTCCTATTTTGTGATTTTAAGACCACAATATGAAGGAATAATTAACTGCATGAGTAAAAATAAATGAATAAATTATACATTTGGTGACATGAAAAACAAATGTGATCGAACTCAGCAGAATCTGGATCAGGTGCGCAAATACAATGAATTGCGATCACCTCAAAATGTTGTCGTCGATGTAAGGCAGGTGACACGTTGCATGGAAGGAACGCGGGCAGCGGTCACAGACGACTAGCTTTCCCTCACTCTTACACACAAAACACTCGTCGTCGTTTTTCTGCTCCTCCTGTACAGTATAAGATACGATTACGGTATATCTTTGCCACAACACTGAAAAAAAAAGAAATTGGGTTTTAATGAGAAGAGTCTTACCAGATCACTATCACTCGGTTTGCACAGTTTGCACTGACACAGCAGTGGGTGGATCCTCAAGAGGTTTTCCTGAAATAGACCATAATAATTAGCATTGCCTTTTCCTTATGCGTGTCGTTATCACCGCGGCAACAATAAAAACCCGCAACCGTCGTCAATCACTGATATGCTCTCATTGCCATAAACGACAATTAGCGTCACGTCGGAAAGGAAACAATGATCAAATACAGCAAAAGCAATTTTGGGAGAAAAAGAAAGTCGGGAAGGAACAATTTAATTTCAAAATAATGTGAATTTCCAAATAAATGTGGATTAAGCGTGTTTGATTTCTGGCGGTGTGCTCTTTATTATGTCAAATCTCGCATTCTGAGTCTGGACCAGTCCAAGTCTATTTCCTATTTCTACTGCCATTTTTTCTGGACATTTGCATTGTATGCGAGAGAATAACTGAACCGTCTCCATCGACTGCAATGTCATATATCCTAATATTGTATTTTAGACAAAGTCGATTTTTACCTGAGTAACAACACCGAGCGACTTGCCTTCCCACAGGATGTCTTTCTTCCAGGAGGCATTCTGACTGCCCAGTGCCTCCTTCGCAAAGTCTGCCGGGGTCCTCCAGCAGGTGTCGGTGCGAATGCTCAGACCACACGTCCCTGTCGATGAGACAAAGTGTCTGCAGGTAAATCTCCGACGACCTTAAATGAGCTTGAAGGAAGCATACGCTCAGGTTTCCTGGATTCCTTACCTGATGCAAATCGTTGTCTGTATAATTTGCCTGCGACTGCTCCACACGTCACGTTGAACACCGACTTGTCCCGGTTTGTGGCCTGGCTGCTGCTGGGCATCTCCTTCGGATCCACTTCACTGTCTTTGTCTGATTCATAATCGTGGTTCGAATCTGACGGATGTTAAGTACTCTGTGATCTATTTTCTTTCTTGTTTGTACTAATCGTCAAGGGTGCAATTTAAAAACATCTCAGATGTTTCACACTCAAATAACAAACCTGTATTACTGTCATCATCGCTGGTGAAGACTAACTTCTTGGCCCAGGAAGATAAAGACATGAATAGACATGAATTTAAAAATAAACACAAATATCACTTTTTTTTTTTTTTTTTTTTTTTGTAGTGGGTTCTTACCTTTTTAGCCCTCCGTCTGAAGCGGTCACATTGCAAATGTCCTCTCTGGAATTGATTCCACAGACACCAACCAAAATGTAATTTTCTATGCAACTAAACAGGACATGGACTCTGTGCAAGAGCTTCATGAAGAACTCTGCTTTTACAAAAACAATCATGCTCCATTTAGCTACATAAGCGGAGAAAGGTAATGCCGTGAAGCATTAGCATTAGTACTCTCTAAAACGGTGCCACTCAGTAATTGTAGGTTTGATGTGTAGCTCAAGTAATTCAATAGACACCAAATCTTCAAACAAATTCTTCATTCTTGCGGCTTTGCAATATTGGCACTGTCGGACAGAAATGTCCAAATTTCATATTTTTTCGCAAATTGATAGTATTGCTCAGTCCCCACATTGGATTTGTGACTTTTACAAATTAAAATTCAGGTGTTGAGCCTGGTTTGTAAGAATATTCGCTCAACAAAACACAATGTTTGGATGCTACGTCTGAATGGTGTCCACAGTTCCGCAGTTCAGTGAAGACAGCAAACTGTTATGAACGTCCCGTGTTCCTTTTTTTGTTTGTTTTCGTATTCGATCTCGTAAGATTCTGCACATGACAGTAAAAGTTGTCAATCAAATCCTCAAACCTTCAAAAGCTTTTCAAGGGGCTTGTCCATACATTGGATGCTTCTCTTCCAATTCCTGTTACTGCTCTTCCCCCCGAGACGTTCAAATTCATGGGGAGTAAGCCACTCACTGTTGACCCAAATGCATGGCTGCCCTTAAATTGTAAAAGATTCAGAAAGACTATTCAGTGGGTGACTTTACAGGATGATTCATGCAATCAAGTTTGCCTGTTAACCTTTTCTAAATCTCTCTTGGTTCAGTGTCCCTTTCGAGTTTCCGCAGGTCACAGGAAGGCCGGACTTATAGATGGCCCATGTCCAGATGTCGTTCTTATCCCCCTTAACTGGAGAGGCTGGAAAAAAATATAGAATTGGCAAAAAAAAAAAACAGCAATTGCATTGATAATAAAGATTCTATGTCCAAATATAAAGCATCATGTGGCAGTTTGTCAGCATTTACGGTACTCACAGAACAATATTTTCTTTTTCTTTGGCGCGGAAGTCAATTGCGAGGGCTCCTTCTCCCCACTGCATTGATTGTTGATTTTCCGTTTCTTCTTTTGCTTTGGCACCGGCATTTCTTGCCTGCTGACTATGTTCTCATCTTCTGATGGCTCCTTCCTTTCCCCGACGTCGGTCTCCTCCTGTCTGTTGCCGTTAAATGGACTTTTCTGTGGTGATGGAGACGATTGTGAGGGCTGCTCCTCGTCACTGCACAAGTGGTTGTTTTTGTTTTTCTTCTTCTTTGACACTGAGATTTCTTGCCTCCTCTCTATATTCTCATTTTCAGGGGGCTCCTTCCTTTCACTGACAGGAGTCTCCTCCTGTGGCTTGCAGTTAAACAGGTGTGTATCCAACTGAAAGGAACCTGGTGACGTCAACAGACAAGATTCAATATCCAATGTCAATCAAGGACTCAAAGTCCGACTCCAGTTGGACAAAAAGTTTCTGGAGATTACACCTATGAGAGCAAAAAACGGCCACTCCACTCCACTCCACTTTTAGACTTGAACACGGAGTGGCACGACATTCCGTCTGCGGTCAGCCGAAGGAGTTTAGATTAACCCCTGTTTAATAGCAATCTATTTTCAACCATTTAACCTGTTCTGTGTCGCTGGAGCCTAACAAAGCTTATGTGACGCTCGAGGCCTTGTACGTTACCAGTGAGGCAGATGTGCAGAAGTACATGCAATACGGTACCGCCGGAACTACAACATGTCCACCTGAGACATTTTAGTCCGACAACAATGGAAATGTGTCATACCATCTTGGAGACTGTTGCGCAACGCTTTCAGGGTGGGGTATTGGTTGACAATGGTCTCCTTGAGGACACACCTCCAAAACATCTTGATGGACCGTGGTCGCTCTCTCTCCAACCAGTCCAGAATCTCATAGAGGCCTTTCTTCAAGGCCTCTTTGCTCTTTGTCCGGTTCACTTTCTGCACACACACAAATACCGAAATGTTCAAAACAAAGATTCATCGTCATGAGTATTGTCGTGTAGTGCCCGGTATGGGAAGGCAGTTCCTGAGTTTTAGTGGCATGGGCTCATTCGCCCGATCACTCTCTCCTTGTCTATGCAAATATTTCACTGTGTCTTATTTATCTTTGTCTCATCTAATATGTACAGATCCCCTAAGTGGGACATGGAGGGGGCAGGGACGGTGGACGGCGTTGTCATGACGATCGCAGACGTAGAGGAATGACTCCCTGGAAACACTGAAGTTTTGTACAAACTGTTGAGCGTGTACTCCGGCACAATTGTGTCCCACCAGAAGAGCGATCGGGGATTTGCCCAGATGGCACGCGATCTCCGACTCGCAGCCAGCCTCGTGATCATCTACAATGATTCAGAACGAGATAAGCGTGTGCCGATTGCACGTCCCTGATTTTTATATACTGTACTGTACTACATACAAGTATAATCGGTCATGTGCTAAATTGCCGAGCAGATGCTCACAGCGCATTATTATTGTAGTTTTAATACTACTACTACTACTAATAATAATTATTATTATATAATAATAATAGCGCAGGCGCTCTTGGGTAAACGCCGGCGTAGGCAGTGAGGTTTGGACGCTTTGCTGTTACGTAATGACGTAACTCCTAATTGGCTCTTTTCCGGTCGAAAACCAAACACGTTCTTCGTAAGAACTTGTTCAGCATCGCGTCCTGTACTGGTTCAGGCTTCTTCCGCCTCACCTTGTAGCTGTGTTCCGGAATCAGATCGTAATCTCTGAGTTGGCGTATAAATGTGTGTGGGTTTTCCATGCACGACATTTCAGCCTTGGAGTAGTGGAAGAATCGCAGCAGTTCTTCATCTCCCGGAAAATCCATCAAACTGCGAAACGCCAACCAGCTTCTACTCGCCAAGATAGTTAATTATTCATGGCGGTCAAACACCGTTCTTGCTAGATGAGAGGAAGTAGATCGATTTTTGAAAACATGTTGAAAGGTGCTAACAGGCATGTTCTGGTGAGCTGAAGAGGCCACTGCCCACTGGGCCACTGACGTTTCGAAAGTGAAAATGATTCCTCCCCTCGTTAAAAAAACAGTGATGTAGTTACAATCTACAACTTTTCTTTTGTGCTAGTAAAAAAAAACGACCATCTCGCTCACGTGTTTGCGTGGCGTTTTGTTTATCGATCTTTTCTTGACGCGAGGAATCCTAAAAAATTGCAGAGTTCACACTGGACATCAATTAATCATCGGTAGGGGGCAGCGTTGCACTTTTATTCAAAGCTAACGCGTCCAATACAACCAGTTGCTCCTGCATAATATCGCCCTAAATACTTTTGCACAAGCTGCATAAAATGAGGTTTTATTTTTCGATTCCTTATGAAAACATTGCGTGCCCTTGTCGCAATGCTTTTAGCTTGCACTTAATCCAAACACCAGTCAGTAGTTCTCGTCAAAAAAAAATCTTAGTGTCAGTTTGAAAGCAAAAAAACCAGCCAGGAAAGGTTTACTAGAACAACTGAGCTTTATTTATGGTCCAACAGGGGTACTTAAAATAGTGGCAGGTGTGTTCTGACTACCATGTAATAGTGCATTTAATATTGAAATGTGACTTCTGAACACAGTGTATCCCACTTATAAGATTATGGTTTATTTTTACTTCCCCTCTCAATATATATGCATGCTTCCACCTTCTTAAATAACCTTCATTTATTTTATTTAAATAAATTAGACCCGTTGTTTTTGCCTTATTTTATTTGTTGCTCATATACTTCGTACTTTCCTAAATCATTGAAAATGACATCAGTGTGTTGCTCTTCACAGGTCTCCACCACATGCAGGACAGTTGCTAGTCGTCGGTCCAAAGCGGCAAGGTGTGCCTCGGACAGGAGTGGAGCAACAGCTTCAAGAGGATCCTGGGCCAACGACTGTCGCATGACATCACTCAGACGGAAGTATGGATCGGACAAGAGACGCAACCGAAGGAGGGTGGAGCGACGGATCCTGTACAGGTAGGAAGAGAGCAAATTGAAAACACAGTCAAAAGCCAGCATTTTGATAGCTCACATTCTCTTCACACTGTTTTCTCATTGTAAAAATATCATTAATAAAACAATAGATCAAATTAATTGATCAAACAACTCACTGGGGTGTGGTTACGAGTGTTGTTTTTATTTTATTTTTTTTATAATTGTGCACTTCCAACTTTGTGGTAAAATTGTATTTTCTGTTCCAACATGACTGGCACCAAGTGAACAAGGCAAACCTAGCTTTACCTGCAGCACTGTTGTAAGGGAGCTAAAATTGATAGCTCATCTTGAGAGTGTCGTCCAAACCTGCAAAATATTAGCAAAAGTTAGTGCATGGATACTTAGTGTTTTGCCAAGGATTGTTCGACCTTACTGTGTTTGATGCAAGCTTTGTAAGATTCACTGACCAACCAATAATTGATGAAGCATTATTTGGATTGTCGTGGTTATGTGGTTAAATGTATCTCAAAGCAATGAGAGCAACTGTGGGTTCATTTCTTGCATGCTTAATTCAGTCAAAATGACAACAATGTGACATTAGCTCTGAAATTTGAGCGACCGACATGCACTTGGGGAATACTTCATCAGGTAGCATATTTTTGCACAATACAGCACTGAAAGAATTAAGACCATTTTCACAAAATGACAATCCTAAACTAAATGTTGGGATCTGATTTTAAAGGTGGCGATTTTTGATCAGTGCTTATTTATAGGATATGATGGTAGCTGTCGGATATGATGGGACTGTACTCACGCTCGTCCATTATCCAGATGCAGCAGGAAAGTTTCATTGCCAAATTTCTCAAATGTCTCATAGTGATGTCTATCCATGTTGCCTGGGAAAAAAAAGCAATGCCTCCTTTGACTTTGATAGGTTTCATTCTATGTCAAGTTTTGTCATTGTTCCAATTTTCAATTACACTTTTTTTAATATTAGAGATGGCAAAATGCCGTAATGTTTACAATGGGATTTAAAAGTGTTGAGACTGAATTCGGAACGTCGAGACTGACCCATGAGGAAGTCCAATATAGCCATGTCGATCACATCCACCAGTCTGGTGCCGTGGTTGTAGGGAGGCGTCTGTTTGACAGTGTCACAGTATGCAGGGTCTTTTTCCCATCTGGCACAACAGAATTTTCTATAAAATTGTTATAAATGCACCTCTGCTTACATTGTATCCTTGTAAACATGAAAGAAAAAAAGCAACATAAAAAGAAAGATACATCTGCTGCATATCTTTCACAATGTTCATACTCTCTGTGCACGTGCTGCCACCTACTGTAATGGATGTGCAATTGCACTTAATTGCATTTAATTGTTCCCTGTTGTCACACACATGTTCACAGTTGAATGAGTCTGAACAACGCAAGCGCGGCGACTGACATTTCTACCCATCTGACACAGGCGGAGAACTCACTGGGCCAGTTTGGTGCGGCTGTAGGACCGCCTCCATGGTGACCTCCAAGACCTGCGAGGAGCAAGGCTGAGGTCGGGGAGCATGGCTGCCAAGGATACTTCCAGTGAGTGCGGTTGCCCACACAGCGGGTGCTCCGTTGAGCAGTAGTATTCACACTGACCATAGAAACACACATTCCCCGCTAGGGAGAGTCAGAGAGACACGTTTTACTAGTCGGACATTCAAGTGGCTTTGGTCTTGAGAGTATTACAGAATAACAAAATCCCACAGCGGGGTAGGGGGTGGCATACCAGGGGAAGTGAAGAAGGTGCGAAACAGCTTGCGGTCAGTGGTAATCTCTCTGATCTCACTGGTGACGTTGATGAGACGACCGACCACTGGGGGGATTCTGTTGAAGCCCAGCAGCCTGAGACGCAGAGCAATGCAGAGATCAGAAAGACAAATCAGACCTCTTTGGAGGAAATACACTTCTGTCCTGCAGGTGGCAGTTATGTCTGCTGTTTTTTGTTTCACATCAACATTTGCGCCCATGGTCAAGCCGGGGCCTCGACTCGATGTTAGGGGGGAAACTGGGGGATTCTTATGTGTGCAACAAAAAAGCGTCTTGAGTCGGAAACTCCCATTTTCATTTCAAAGATGTGAGTGCATCATGACATCAACTAATGAATCAGACTCAATATAGCCTGAACCGGCAAAAAAAAATAAAAAAGATCAAATTTTTGTTACTCCGTTTGATGATGGTGATGAAAAGATGGGCTTTGGGGAGCTCAGACAGGTTGCTGTCCGTTCACAAACACGACAAAAGCTATGAATGCACTTATTTGTCATTAGTAAATCACTGGAAGGAAATAGTGTTCCCACAAGGTAATTCCCTTGAGATTTTCTTTTCGCTTCACTCTCGAGATGAATCTACACAGAGGAATTCTTTCTTGGTACCTGTCAAGGTGAAAAGCTGAGATCTCCGCATTGTGTCTTTCAAAATCAGAGAAGTAAAAGAGGTTCACATCTGTCTCTGCGTCTCTGGATTGTCTAGATGAGAAAAATGCTCATGCTGAGTTGAAATAAGGGGATGACATGAACATGATGACATTGTGGTCTTACTTCTTCGGTTTGAGCAGAGCTTGTCCGTAGTTTGGGAAAGACATCAGCAGTTTGAGTTGAGTACCTCCTGACTTTTGAACTGAAAGATGAAGAAAAATCAAGGTTGCTTTGGAAAATCTTTTGTACCCTTTTTCCTGGCTGATACCTTTGAACAATCACATCCCTCTAATGCTCTGAAAGCTCTTTGCGGACCATTGTGTGGTTAAATGTAACTGCAAAATGTCAGCAAAATCCCACTAATACCCGAACTTCATTTGACGTCAGTCCGAGGCTTTTCAAATGGTGGCAGATGAGTGTCGCCTGAGTTTGGATGTAATTGGTGAATTCTGAGCACCCACAGTTTAAATGGGGTGTGCATACGTGTCTGACCACAAACCACTTTATCAGAGTTCTAATTTTATGGTATTGCTATTTATTGCCACCGCATTTGTGTAACCTAAAATAAAGAGATATTTAGCATGATTCTCTCTAAGTGTAGCTCTTCGTGAGTTTTGCATATAAAAACAGAAAGGTACTGAGAAAATTCAGCCTGTATCCTCAATCTTCACTGCATAATGCACGTCCCAAATGTATAATTCAATGTACTCGGCACTGCGCTGAGATTGCGAGCGGGGTGTCTGATATCAACACAAAACAAACTTGGTTATGTATGAGTTCATGCAGAATGTACCGAGTCATGGATATGTGCCTGAGACCCGTCTCTTTTTGCACATACGGCAATGATATTCCTAACAGTATTTCCCTCTGTATGGATTTGTGTCACGGACAAACACCTCCACCTTATTCATGTCAATAATTCAACAGAATAAAGGGAGACATATTGTGCTTCGTGACATTTAACAAAGCCAATGTATTTTCAACTCGTATGCGTTTGTCATAAGGGTCAGCCTTGATTGTGCAGCCGTGTGGGCGGGTGCGCGTATGTGTGTGTGTGTATGTGTCTCTTTTCGGAAAAAATCTCCAATGGGTTCCCTGCTCTGAATATAAACTTTGGCACAGTTTACTGTCTCCAATAAGTTGGATGAGAAAAAAAAAAAAAACGGAGTTGCCCGTCTTGCCTGGGGTTCTCTCACAGCCTCCACTCTTTTCTATCAAGGCATATGAATGCGTAAAAATGAAACAAGAAGCATGGCGGGGACTTTGTTTTTCTGTTTAACGAAGGAGAAACCTGAATTATCATAATTAGATGAGAACTAAGCACTACTGGGACCATCGTGGTTAACAGCGAGGTCAGCTTCTAAATTTATTCTTGCTTTGTTGAGCAATGCAGCTTTCTCAAGTCAAGTGCCGATTTATGTCTGTCTGAATTTCAACACAAAGTACAGTTTTAGGGAATCACATCGCCGCACTTTCACCATGCCGCTTATTCTCTTTCTTTCCTTCCACCGATTATCGCCGTTTTTCCTCACCTGCTCCGAGGATACGTTGCGTTGCCAAGTAATGAGTTAGATTTGACACGGTGACATCCTTTCTGTTGTACAGCGCCCACCGAGTGATGCCCAAGTGGAATCGCAACCAGGGTGGGTGTGACTCGGCGTCGTTGGTCCATGAGACTTTGTCGTAGCCTTTCTCGTGACTTGCACTCTCCCTTTAAGGGAAACATTGTATATGAACATAAGTGCTGAAAACGTGCGACTTAGAACAATGTCTTACTGATATGGTGTTAAACTGTGTTTTTTTGGGGGGGTAGCATGGAGTTAGTGTTTAATGTAAAAAAACAAAAAACATAGGGGCCATCAAATCCTCAGGCTGGTTACATAACAGCAAAGCTATCGTACTCTGTTTTACCCTCCGCCGATTTCTCATCCGATATCAGGCGGACATTTTCAAGATAGCACTCACCACTGGCTGTCACTATTGATGTCTTCCTCATCACCCGCGTCCTCGTTTTTCTTCACCCTCAGCAGCCAGTCATCCTCAAGCAGCCCCACTTCTGGCAGGTTGTACAGCGGGTGCTCGAAAAGCGCCCGCAGCTTCGAGGCCTCCTCGATGACTCGATTTACTTTTCCGGCGCCAATCGTTTTCTTCTCTGGGTCAATGGCAGCAGGCATTCCGGTCGCATTTGATTTGTAAGGCTTGTCATTCTGGGAACTGATTGATAGTTTATGTGAAGGGGAAGGGACCCGGTGATGCCTCTCTGTTTCTGTTCTTGGATTTAAGGAGGAGGAAGACGGGTTGGGAAGGACGCAGGCTGTTTGGAGGACAGTGAGACAAAAAAATGCTAGAATGACATGCAGAGCAACGGACAGACAGGCCAGGCAGAGATAGACGGAACGGGTGGATGGACTGAGGTTCCGTCTCACCATGCTGGAAAAGAGAAGGAAGAACAGAAGGAGAGACACTTGAAAACCAAATGGCCTATTGAGTTGCGCCGAATTCAAGCCCATTCACCATGAAAGATTTTCTTTTTTTTCCCTTCGTTTTTTTTGTTTTTTTCTCCAACTTTGTGTCTGATTGAACTGTTTTCTCTCGCCGACTTTTTCTTCTCCAAATTGGAAGCTCTGCGCAGAATTGATCTCTTCCGCAACCGCCGATTTCATTTCCACCCACAGGTCTTAAAGAAACATCACACAATAGTATGACCTTAAACAGCTTCTACTTGTGAGAATGGTGTCTCTGGTGTTGCCATGGCAACCCACATCATGTATTTTGTGGTCGAGAGACTAATAATAGTGGACCAGCCCAGAAACCTACAATGTATTGCTCAGATTTGTATGGGAAGATCTTATGTATAAATACGGAGCGAGAGGGCGGGCACTGGAGCCAAAAGCTTCCAAACTTAAATATAATAATCATGTGTGGTAATGTAAAAATGTCTTTTTTTGAACTACTGTCAATAGATTAAGATCACATAAATAATTACATAGTCAGAAGAATACGAATCATATTGCATCCAGATATCAATTTTCATTTGCTACTTTAGACTGACGCGATTAGAGTTGACGAGCAACTCAGGCATTAATTTAAAAAAAAAAGATAAGCTAATCATTGACATCACGTACAGAAAAGCTCACTGAGGAAAAATCAATAAATTATCGAACTTGCTGCTCCCAAATTCCCCAGGGTACAGCAGGCAGAAGGAATTACTTACATCCCGTTTCCTTCAAGAGCTTTATTTCTTCCCCTGCTTTCCGTTCCCCTACTTCCTTGGCTAATGAGACAGATATCTGATATTCCTGATCAGTCTACCAAAGAGTGCAGCCCTGTTTGTTTATTATGGCACACGAGTTCAAACAGAAGAGAGGCATGTTGCGGTGACCGATGTCACTGTGACCTGTACACAAATGACCTTTCAGCTTGTCCGCTAATGAGCGCGACGATAGCTGAAAATGTAGCAGACTCCAAACATCTGCAAGAAGTTCAGTGCCGTGGCAGGTTGATATATAGAAAGCGGTCGAATTGTAATGTGATATGCAACAGGTTGCCGGTTGCCATCTTTTCACTCTGTTTTCATATACAAAGTACAAGAAACCACCGCGCCTAGGAAAAAACAACCAATCAGAGACGGAATAGATCATTTGCCGTGCACTCCTGGGCACGTTCATTGCAGGCACACCCGATGTAATGGAGAAAAAAAAAATGGCTTCTGATCCATTTTGTGACTTTCAGCACTTCGAGCTCCTACGGATTAAAAAGGGGTCAGTGTATTTAATGCCGCCCCCGAACTACCTACGATGTGTTTCCGTTAATTAGCAAAGCGCTTTGGGTCTGAATGTATAATGAGTCTTGTCGCAGGTCCCAGATGAATAGGCCGGTGCTCAAATCTGCAGCGAATTATCTGGTATTATACAGTTCATGTGTGCAGACATATGAATAAGTTATTTTTGTCAATATGTGTTGTGCAGTGAGTGCACCGTTTCCCTCATTTATTTGTCACATTTGAGTTTTTACCTCTTTAAAATTATCAACTCACTACCGTCAATACAGGAAACCCAATGCGGGTTTTTTTTTCCATTCGGTGATTATATTAAACTATATGTCGTTCAGTCCTGTAGCTTTCATCAGCGCTATGCTATTAATTTATTCAACATCATTTTGAATTGGAGATGTTAATTCCCATCTCAAAACTGATAAAGGTTTTCTTATCTTATCTTATCTTAAACCTTCCATTTGAAATAGTGGCCTCGACAGAAAAGAGTCAAAGGTCTGGTGGCCTCCGCCTTCCACAGCTGTTGCAATTTCATGTAGGTTGCTTGGAAACAACCCATACTCTGACACCTAATTGGAGCGTGCACATGCGTTATCCAACAGGCAGGCAGACAACCAGAACAAAATGCAAGCCGAGGATAATAAGACAAGCTCGTTCCAGGATCACATCTGGCATGTCGGAGGGGAATGTGCGGCGGCAAAGGACCTTTTGAATCATCTCTCGGTTTAACTAGACACCCAACGTGGGCTTTAATTGCATTCTGTCACTTGGCCCGTGTGTGCATGTTGCTAGGTACGGTATTAGATCGGAGCGTGTGTTAATACCACGTCTTCATTTCGATACAGTCTGGCCTATGTGTGGGAAAATATCAACATAGACATTTGGATGTTGAGCTTTGGATGTTGAGACAGATGGATGTTGAGCCTTGGGGTCAGGCGAGGCTCAGAATATTTCCCATTCTGAGCCAAGAACTTGTACTTAAACTCCTCGCAAAGGCAACCAGTCTGCCTGTCTGTTCTGCGCCACGCATAATACATCATCTCCGCGTGTCACTTACAAGGGGAAAAAAACAGAACACTTTGGGCCATCAGGAATTGCCGGTCCTGGGAATTTTTGAAAATTAATTTGAGGTTTATTTTCAATGCTAATCAAACTGAAATGAATGTTACTATTTGACTGGAAATGGGGTTTACATATGCATGTGAAGCGTTTGTCAAATGCCATTTAGCTCTTTTCTTTCATCACCTCCGCTCCTTCCCAGGGCCGAACATCCTCTCACCTTTCTCGCGTTTCCTCTCAAAGCTCTAATGCGCCGCACTGGCCGTATGGATGGCCATGAATATTTCATATGGATGGACGGAGTAAGGAGAGAAGTGTGAGCTTCAGAGACAAAAGACAAAAAGACTGCAAAGTGGTCACGTAAAACAGGCTGGACCGAGAGGAACAAACGATGTAAAGTAGGCACAATGTTAATGGAGAAGAAGAGGAAGGGAAGACTAGGGAGAAAGATGTCGGAGGTGTTAAGACAGAGAGTACCACGGAAACCGGCACGGAATACTAAGTAGCGTTCGGCCGCCGTTGTGTTCAGCGCGCCAGTTTATGCGTACCGCCTTTGTAAACATCCAACGCGTTGAACCAATTATAATCCAGCCGTCCCTTGTTTTCCCGTGTGAATTATTGTTGATTTTCGCATTACTTCCGCCCATCCCCTTTTTGCTCTTTATCATTCCGCAACTCATTATTTACAAGGTGACAGCCTGCAAAAACAATCTAATCTCGCCATCCGAGAGCCCCGTCGTGAGCTCAAACTGAGTGTCGTTTCTTTGTCGCAGTCATCTCATTTGTAGGGAGCAAAACATGAAAAGGCAGAGGGAATAAGAAGGCAGAGATTACGTAGAGGTTTTTTTTTTTCATCATCAAAGTCAGCAAAGGTAATAAAGTGAGGCTTTGCCAATGATCTTTTCTGGGTTTTTGTGCACAGCGGCCATCTTTAAAAGGCAAATGTGCATGATAGAATGGGATCCCATCCTTCCTGACGAATTCAATTGTTTCTTCTAACGAGGATCGTTTCGGGCAATGTGGCAACTCAATGTTTTCTTCCATGTCTTGTACAATGGGTGTCATCATATTTTTGTCCATAAAGTGGAAAAGTTTGGTCCCTCCGCATTTCACACCCTCCTTCATTTTGCTGCGTGCAGACAGCCCACTCCTCCGCTCCCTCCCCCTTCCCATATTTGCACACTCATTTGTCTTCACACCTCATTGTTGTTTGATAATGTTCCCTTCGTTTGAAATGCCAAAAGAATTGAATGAAAATATCACGATTCTCTTCACACCTCATTGTTGTTTGATAATGTTCCCTTCATTTGAAATGCCAAAAGAATTGAATGAAAATATCATCACGATTCC